ACGCTTTAATTTATTCTTTTATTTTTCAGTTTTCTTCAATTTAATTAAATTATATATTAATTTCATTTTTTTTATCTTTTTTTTATTATTTATATTTATTTTTTTTTAATCTGATTAATTTTTATGTGAAACTAATTTTATAAATATAATTCTTATTACATTTTTCATAAATAGGCGTTTGATATTATAGAATATTTATATTAAATCCATAATTATATATTTCAATTTTTGCGCGGTTAAATAAATAAGGAATCGTATGTTTCAGCCAATCAGAAGCGTTCTAGGCAAACCTATGACTCGTGGCGTCATTCGTTTATAGAAAATCATCGTGACAGGATACCGATTCGAGAATCCTATTACGCAGTAAGTAATTTTATTCATATTCTATTATCGAATTTATGAATTATCGTTAACTTTGTTTACTTAATAATTTATTAAACACTGTAATAACGAAATTAATTAGTCCTTTAATTTTTTTGTACTTTTATCTTTGATCGTTTAATTGATCGTCCAGTTGAGGTTATTTGCTTGTATCGATAGTTTTTGTTGTATCATAAATCTTTTAATATATTATATTATAAAATTTCACTTCAGTTATTGTCTTATTTTCATATAATTTTAATTTTATATTTGTTTTTTTATGTTTCTAATTTTTATTTTTCCAGATTATCGTTTCATTGCTGAGATGACTTCGAAAAAATATTCTACGATTATTATATAATATATATAATTTATAAATGATGGCTTTTTTTGGATATCAGATAAGATTTTATTTATTCTCATTTTAATAGATATATTATTTAAAATAAAATATATTAATTTTCGAAATATTATTCATATCGAATTGAATGCATATTTGTTTTACGAACAATTTTATTTCATCAGATTTAATTCAGTGACACATATTTATTTTCTAATTGAATCCATCTGTGTTCATATTATTTTTCTTTTTTTTCGTTCATGTTATGCTCGAAGTTATAAATATTTTTTAACGTGTAACTTTTTCAATAAATTTAGATTCGCGTTCGAAGTATGTTCGACATCTTTTTATTCGTTGCTCTAATTCGCAATTCGATAATCGAAATTGATCGTGGAGTATCATTGTATTATCGATAATTGAAAGTTTGATTATTATTCAATTATAATATAATTATTTATTTTTTAATTTTATAATTGGTAAGTATATCTTTTATTAATATATTTATTTTTTATTATTATTTTATTTTTTATTATGTATATTATTTATGTACGATTTGTTATCGACCTATCGATCATACCCCCTTCCTAATTTCTATTTCGATAATCGAAATCGTGGCGTGGAAAAGCATCAGTCTAGTTTCGATAATTGTGGAATTTAGACGCGTCATTTTTCCGTGTGGTGTGTGATTTGTCTGCTGCATATAATTTATTTCTAGTTATAATTTATTATTTATACGTTAATATTCAATTATTAAGTGTTTCTTATTATAATTAAAAATCATTTAGTGACGAAATTATTGTTTTTTTCGCGATTTATTCATTCCTTATAATTACAGGTTAGAGACACAGGTAATTCATATTATAACATTTCCACATAAAATTTATGTTTGATTATTTTTTTATTATGTAATTATATAATGTAATTGCTTAATCTTAATGTTTATTTGAAAATCTGGTTTTTTTTGTGCAGATTATTAGTCGATTGTTGGAAGGATGAAAAGGCGCGAAAATTTTCAATATGGACGCCATAACGTCTTTTGTCTCAAAAAATATTTCTGATCGCAATTTGTAGAGTCAGTGTTTGCTTCGTAATAGTATTTTTAATATTTTTTATGTAATATTTTTCTTGTAATATCTTTAATTATAATAATTTTTCGCGAAATTAGAATCAGTGTTTGTTTGCCGATTATATATATATATATATATTAGAGTCAGTGCATCAGAAACATAAGATCGATTATCACGCAAAGAGGTAATTATTTTTATATATTATTCATAATTTGGAATTCATCTTTTTTCAAATATTGAGACTGAAATAATGCTAATGTTTTGTTGTAGTTTCTCCTATCAAATGATGGCTTCTCTATTTGGGTAACAGCAGCAGATTGATGACAACGCAGATTCTTCGCATCTAATGGTGAGTCGCATGCATTTTGATTCCTCCAGTCAATCATATCGTAGGACGAAAAGTCTGAATCGATATGGGTGACAGGTTGTATACATAGAATTTTGCACGAGCACAGTGACCATGAGTATTTATACTCATGAGTAGTAACATTTTCTATATTTTATTTATTAGATCAGGCTAGGTCTTCTTGCATGTTTTTAATACTAATATTATTCTAATAATAATACATTGATACGAATATTCGAAAAATATAACAAATATGTCTTAAATGATTTAATTATTTCATTTTTAAAATAGCAAAAATAAATTTTAATGCAAGAAGACATTTCGCGACAGATAGATTTTGATATCAAAGCTACAAGTTTTGAATACTTTTGTTGTGTTTTTGAAAATATGCTTTGATAGAAGAATCGCCTGAGGGTATTTTCATTAATATTTAAATTTGAATCAATTACTTCATTGCATTGTAACTTAATCTCTTTTTCAATAGATGCATTTTTTTTTGATTAGTAATTCTTTGTAAAGAATATTAGAATTCAATATTTTATTACATTGGAAATAAAATAGAGTCATAGTTAAAATTTCA